CAATGTATCAAACTTAAGAAACAACTGTTACACTAATATTGTTGTTACTCATCTTCAGAAATGCGGAGAAGTTTACAAGCTCACAGCTTATTGTATGAAACCGCCCCTTTCGACGACTCGAACGGATTGCTTTGATAAATATCGATAACCGCTAAATTATCTGGCTAGGCAATTAGGTATTTTGAAATATTTCCAGAATTAATGGGATTTGTTGTTTTCAAAGTGATTTTGTTTTACATTTTCCTCCTTCAACAATGATAAAAAAAAACTAAATAAATAAAATCCGTTTTTTACAGCATGCTAGCAATCTCATATCAGTTAACTCTTTTGTCCATTAGCAACAAAATTAAAGATAAGTTTGAATTCTATGTATTAACATAATAGATTTTATAGCGATTTTTGTACAGGTTGAAAAAGTCGGAAATGTTAAAATCTTTAGGGTTTTTACATTGCTTAAATAATACTAAAATGTTGCAATCATCTGGATTATTTTATTTTAAGATACTTGTTAGATATAGACCATAATGGTATGATGTGGAATATGTCTGATACTGGTTGGGCTAAAGCAGCATGGACTAGTCTGTTTGCACCATGGATCAGAGGAGCCTGTATTTTTATTCACAATTCTGATAAGTTTGACCCAGAAAGAACGCTACAGGTACACGAATTGAAATTCGAAAATGATCTGAAATGAAGTTCCAAGATTTAACAAAAAAAGTTTGAATAACTTCCTTTATCATTTCTCATATAGCTCCATTTAAAAGGGATTATGCATTAATTAATTTTAATTTTCAATTATATATGATTTTGTTAGAGACTGTGATAACTGAAACATATTCCCTAAAATCTGACATGTTTTTCATATTTGTATACCTTTTCCATTTTATAAAATTAAAAGTTACCTCGACATTTATCTGTAATATTCCCAGTTTTAATTTTGCTCTTTTCCATTTTTCATTGGATTTTTAATTGTTATAAATGTCATTTTTTAGATTAGTCTTTTTCCAATAATCGTAATTCTTTCTCCTCATCATCTTCATTTATTACAATACAATAATTTTCTTTTAGATTAGAAGATATTTTAGGAGGACATGTTTTTTAATCGGATTATTAATGAAAGAAAATAATTTACCATAATGTCCACAAAGCTTCTCCGAATATATATTTAATGCTCAAATCCAAATAAAGATTAAGTGGATGATTTATTGTTAAAATGTTGCTTGCTAATTGTTTAACTGCAACCAATACCTGCATATTCAGCATGGGAACACTTACAGGAGATATTAGTAAACATTAATGTATTATGGGTGTTACAGGAACGTAATCCTAAATATACCTCACAAGGTTCATGTTTACAAGAAACATTTCCCGTGCACATTATTATGACACATTTAATAGAATAAGAAGATGTGGTGTGATTGCCAATGAGACAACTCTCCACACAGACCAGACCAAATGTCATAAAAGTAAACAACTATAGGTCACCGTACGACCTTTAACAATGAACAAACCCCATTCCGCATAGCAAGCTATATATTGATGAGTTGTAAAAAAGAAAAAAAAAAAAATACCGAACTCCAAGGCATATTCAAAAGGGGAAGTCCATAAAAACTGACAAAATTAAACGCATTCAATCAACGGAACAAGTGAAAAACAACTGCCATATTCCTGACTTGGTACAGGCATTTTCCGAAGAAAATGATGGGTTAAACCTGTTTTTATAGCAAGCTAAACCTCCTACTTGTATGACATGTAACGTGTGTGGGCTTTCCATGTCTGTCAGAAAACTTCTTCCTATTTTCCAATACTTGCAATTACGAGTGGGATGTCATCGAAAAGTGGAGTAATTTTGTTGTGATTGTGAACTTCTAAAACTCAAGTTGTTTTGTTACATGTACGACTGAGACGCAATCTAATATAGCGTGACTTATACGGGGACCGAACCACGTCCACCCATACCTTAAACGAGCACCAGCTTCACTCAACGAGGGATTTTTCAGAAATACAGAATAGTATGTGTTCTTTTATTACATAGGGTATGTTTTCTTGTAAATACATATTTTTCTTTGTAGATTTTAGATAAGTATCCTATTACTAATTTCTGTGCACCACCAACTGTGTATAGACATTTAGTAAAACAACCACTTCACAGATACAGCTTGTCGAGAAAGTTACTTTGTGTCGGTGCTGGAGAACCTGTTGTAAGTTGAGAAAATAGAACTTGAAGATAACAAGGACATTTATCAATAATAATATCAAAATAGTTAACACACACAGCCACATATGAAAAACTCGTTTTTGATTTACTCTCATCAGGCATGTTCAAACTTAAACATATACAAGCCAGGGATGTTTAAATACATAAAAATGTGAGAATCTATATGACCGAAAAGTACCTAAACAGAATAGCCAAATGAATCCAAAGTCAGCTTTACCTGAGAGAGTTGGAACCTTTGTTTGAGAAGCCGTAAACTAGAATTGTATTTCAATGATACGGTGGTTTTCATTTTTAAATGATTTATTTACGCTAAATCATTTTTTGTACATAAATTAGGCCGTTAGTTTTCTCATTTGAATTGTTTTACATTGTCATTTCGGGGCCTTTTATAACTGACTGTGCGGTATGGGCTTTGTTCATTGTTGAAGGCTGTACGGTGACCTATAGATATTAATTTCTGTGTCATTTGGTCAATTGTGGAGAGTTGTCTCATTGGCAATCATACCACATCTTCTTTTTTATATATAGTAATTACAATCAGTAATATAAAACAGAAACTGGTTTGTTACGTACAGTCTATTTGTTTAAATATGATTTATATGAACTATTAATTTTTTGTAAAAGAAATATGATGTATTATAAATATTCAATGATGTATTATCTGCATTTTGTAGAACCCAGAACTACTGAAAGAATGGCACGATGGTACTGGTTTGACTTTATATGAAGGTTACGGACAAACGGAAACTGTAAGTATTTTCATTGGCTACAGTATTACACATTTCATCTCTCAAATGTAAAGTATTAAATGAGTATATTATATATATATATATTACATATAACTCGTCTCAAATTTAGCCCAACAATATAAGCTCTCCAAATTTGCGTTAGCAAATTTTTATTCTTCCCTCAGCGGGATTTGAACCCTTGCTTCTGTGACATCGTGGCAACACCGCCTGCACCGTGTCCAGCGCCCCAGACCCCTCGACAACCTAGGCTACATGAAAATATAGAGTTGTTACACAGTATAGTGGCAAGTAGATGTGTGTACTTTTCAGACAGCTATTTTGTCTGTCGTAAAGGATGATAATGTAAATTACCATGCCGCGACATCAATTTTAATTTTATTATACTCGTCTAAACATGTGACAATTTTATGTTTTAGTTTGTTACCCGGATTTGTTTTTATCTCTATCGATTTATGAGTTTCGAACAGCGGTATACTACTGTTGCCTTTATTTATGGTTATACAGGGCTAACACCATAATATATATATAACTCGTCTCAAATTTAGCCCAACAATGTTAGATTTTCATTTGTTCTTCCCTTAGCGGGACTCGTGTGACATCGTGGCAACACCGCCTCCACCGTGTCTAGACGTGTATATATAATACAATAAAATTTTTAAAAAAATGATGTGGCGGCATGGTAATTAACATTATCATCCTTTACGACAGACACAATAGCTGATCTGAAAGGTACACCATCTACTTGCCACTATACATCATGTACTGTGTTACAACCCTACCGTGGATAAAGCCGACGAGGAAAGGCATTACATCGACCACCGAAAGCTATATATATATATATATATGTTGTGTAAAAGATGCAAGTTTGTACAAATTATAATTTGTACAGGGTTTTTGTACAAGTGATAAGTTTTTTAACAGGTGATAAAAATTTCTTAACAGATGATAAACTTTTCTAAAATTTATCAGCTTAATGTCTTAAATTCAAAACGTATATGCTTTAACCTAACATTTAGTGCTATTCTCCTTGTCCTAAAACTGGAAATAAGGACACCTGAATGGTTTAAATTCTATATTTTATTTTTTCTCCTTATATCAAAATCATATCCATAAAAGTCTTTTCGTGTTCTTATAATGTTTTTGTATCAATGCTCAGTAGTAGACTGTATCATGTAGTCATGGATATGACAGACATATGCGAAACAAAAGACTCATCAGTGACGCTTCAATCAAAAAAGTATAAAAGGCCAACAAAAGTACGAAGTTGAAGAGCATTAAGGACCGAAAATTCCAAACGGTTTTGCTAAATACAGCTCTATATGAGGAGAAATTATCAAGCTTGCTTTCGTCAAGCGTAAAACTGTCTAACTGAGGGGAGAAAAGACCAGAAATAACACGATAAACAGATTTTCGGGTTTTCTGCTTATAGATATAGTAAAATATCAGCCAAAAAGTTCATATTGTGGCTCGAGGCTGATATTTTACAATATCAATGTGTAGACACCCGATCATCTATACATATATTGAGTACTGTGATAACTAGAATATGTCGTTTCGATTGCCTGTTAGGTCAAGTAAAACACTAATCATTGGTTTATGGTGCCTCTTCGTCAGTAAGAGCACAGCAATGACAGTTCTGTTCAGACGTAGATATTATGTCATGATATTGTGACATTTTATCATGTGGACTGTTATTTGGGAGCTACATACAAATAAGAAAATGTGGTTTAATGGTAAATGAGACAACTATGCATAAAAAGATAAGACTAAGATAAAAGGACAAATATGTGATCAGTTTAGTACGTTTAAAATCAGTGAACGTGTCAGTTTAAGATTATATATATTTTGTATCTTATTACACGTTATCGTCAAGTATATGAATGTACTATTTTCCACTAAATGTTAAACATTCTTAAATATCAATCGATGATAAGGTATTGTTTTGATATTTTGAAAACATAGATATCGAGACAATCAGATATAGAGTTCGACATAGAGTATTTTTTTTACGTTTGAATAACTGTTTTATTTAGACGTTTTTATGTGGGACATATCCATGTGTTGAAATCAGACCAGGTTCTATGGGGAAGGCAGCTCCTGGGATTGATCTACAGGTCAGTGTTTTATGTTAGCAATATTAATAAAGGGAGATGTGGAGTATAAATCAATGAGGCAGCAACCCATCTGAATACATTACCAAAAGATATCTAGAGGGCAACATACAAATGTACGGTATTGAAGATACAATTACAACTGATTTCAAACTAAATGATATGACTATTATAAATATATTCTTTTATGCATAGATTTAAGTATATTTGTTGTAAAGAGCATTTACTAATAGTGATGCCTGACATAAATTTATACCTTGAGTGAAAGTATGTAAACTTATTGGTTGGAACATTATTTAACAGAATTTTCTAACCGTACTAACTATACATCACTAAGAATAAACTCATCATAGATACAAGAATTAAAATTTTGTAAGTCAGACGCGCGTTTCGTCTACAAAAGACTCATCAGTGACGCTCGAATAAACAAGTTTAAAAGGCCAAATATAGTACGAAGTTGAAGTGCATTGAGGACCCAAAAATGAGTTTCAACCCGTTACCATACATGAAATGAACATGAAATGTAAAAAAAAAAACCAAATGATAAATTTCGTGCGTCCAAAGTGCTTTTCTGGATTTACTTTTACCAGGAATGCTCAAACCTAAACTTTTGATTTGATTTGATTTTGATTTGATTTTTGGTGTTTTAACCCCACTTTTAAGCACCGCTTTTGGGCTATTTCGTGGCGGCCAGTTTTTATTGGTGGAGGAAGCCGGAGTGCCCAGAGAAAAGCACCGACCTTCGATAGGAAAACTGACAATCCTAGTCAGTTAAGATTGGAGTCGAGTGCACCCGCACGAGCGGGGTTCGAACTCATAACCTCAGTGTTGACTGGCTAGTGATTACAGTAGTAACTACTTAGACCACTCGGCCCTAAACTTTTGAAAGCCAGTGATGTGTTATAACGCTGAAACATTAGCAGCTTTAGGACTAGATTAAACATAATTATGCATTGCACCGACTTACCAGACGACAAGATAATCATTAAATTAAGAATAAGAAGTTATCAAAAAATGTTTTAAACTTCAAGGTATTCAAAAAACAAAAGATCATAGTCCTTAAATGATGGCCAATTGTTTAAAAAAAAAAACTGTCCTATTCCTTAGTACACATTGAAAAATAACTTATTGAAATTTCATAGCTACAAAAGAACTAAGAAACACAATAAAAGGACTACTGCATTTGCAATATACAAAAATTGTATAACACAGATGGTGAGTTATATTTTTGAGAAAATGCTAATCATTTACAATTTCTACGATTTGATAGAGTTATTATGTACTATTACACATATTTATACAAATATTTTTGTAGATCGTTGACAATGATGGTAATATATTGCCTAGAAACACAGAAGGTGTGATTGGTGTAAGAGTAAATCCTGTTCGACCAATGGGATTGTTTTCCCATTATGTCGTAAGTGATGATACCTTTTTGTATTAATGATAAATAGAATAATTCGCACGTATGCAAATATAAATGTGCAGAAACATTGTTTGACTGAGAAACTTGAAAAGAAGATATTAAATTTAACTTTTTTTTGTTGTTTCTATATGTTTGCTACATAACATTGTTTTTTAATATATTAAAATGCAACGATTAACAGTAAATACATCAAATTCCAATTAAGCAAAGTGAATTTCCAGTATCCCTTAAACAAAAAAACAAGGTTCCAAAGTACACAGTACAATATAATTATGTAGACATAACCATGAAGTTGTGTTTCTTTATGCCGACCTTTCACTTTAGTTAATTTAGAAAACATATTTGCAATAGAAAAGGTTTATATCGACTTAACGCAACCACGTTTATTTAGAAAAATTAAAGAAATGCGACTCTAATGCTGTAATCTACTCCTTCATATTTTAATCCTATCTTATGTATAATAAGGAAATGTGCTTCATCAGAAATCTCTACCGAAAGTTTATCAGACCATCTGACATCCTAAAATAAGAATATTTGTATTTGAGCTTGTATTTTAATCAAAGTTGATTGAAAGTAGTTACTAAGAAAAACGAACGATAACTATTGTTGTTACTTCTGACTTTTCATAAATAAAAAGAGCCTAATCTTCAACAGTTTTCAGAAAATGCAAGAAATTATATCAACCGTCTGTTGTTCCTTAGCATGATAACTTTTTCAGTCAGTAGTTTATCGTTCGTTCTGTTGGTTGATATAATATAACGTTTGGTTTCGACAGGTTTATGGACTTCCCACTTTCTGAATCTACCCTGGAGGTTGGTACTTTTGTAGAACGGTTTTGTATTCGGACCATTTGAGTACATTGTAACGGACAAACAATGTTTTGACCTTAGGTAGCAAATAGAATAACAAACCATTTGCCTTAAATTCTTTTAGGATGATGATAACAGAAATAAAGCCGTCTTTAAAGGTGATTTTTACTTAACTGGTGACCGTGGGAAAATGGATGAAGATGACTACATTTGGTTTATTGGACGTGATGATGATGTCATGCTGTCGTCAGGGTAATGTCTTTTTATATGGAATGTGGTGATTTGTTTGTTTTTGTTTAAAATGTGTAAACTAATTCTGTCACACTATAATCTAGTAGTCATTTGAACCAATTGATAAAGCAATGAACTTATTTTTTAAAGTTTTAACAATGTATAACATTATAATAGTCGAGTTGAACTTTCAAATTAGAGTTTTGTCTATCATTTTTGTTAAGACTTGAAATTTTCGACAGTTTATTGTCCAATTAGAGTATTTGCAACGTATAAATTTTTGTTTTTAATTTGATGCGTGCATTTGAAATTCCTCAATTCGAATGAACTTTAGATTTAGATTTATCTATATATTGCAGTTATAAACTTATACGAAAGCGTGTTGTTCTCTTTAGTTATAGAATAGGTCCTTTTGAAGTGGAAAGTGCATTGATAGAACATCCAGCAGTTCTTGAATCTGCAGTAGTAAGCAGCCCGGATGAAGTAAGAGGAGAGGTATATACATTTGTTTTACTTTCATATAATTATTTTATAATAAGTGATAATGATTTTATTTCTATCAGTATGGTATGAATAATTAAACGCTAAATAAACATGTATACGGAAACTTGATCCCTGGCCATGATTTTACGTTACCAGCATGATTTGCCTCAACATTTCAATCATGTTCAGAACAGTGTGATATTCTTTGTCAACTTTCAAATTATTTTTTTTTATAATACACCTCCCAGTTTATGTATTGAAATAGTAAAATAATCTCTGAAATAGGAATATTTGATTTACCAGCGGATATGGACGAGACCAATCTACATCCGCTGGTTTACTTATTGTAAGGTTAATAGAGGTTTCTTCACATCTACAAGTGTACCAAGGAAATAATAGAGTTCTGTTGTACTATAGAAGATTACGTCTATTTACAAATCAATATTGACGCATCATAGAAAGACTTAACCCGCCTATAGTTCGGAAATAAAACTCTGGTTATCTAGACTTTTTCTAAACAGTTAGTAGACAATTAAATCTTACGAAAAAGAATTTGTTTTTTGTTAACTGACAGCTAATAAAAATACAAGATTTCCTTTAATAATCTTTTGTAAATTTATCGATATCGATTGTGGTCCAATTTAACACTTGCGCACTGCGAGTGCTGATAATAGTAGCGTATGGTTTAATGAAATTTCACAATGACAACATGTGATGATAAAATGTTTTATTATGAATTTTTCCACTGACCTTTATTATTTTTTAAACACAAGATTTGTTTTGTGATCAATTGAAGGTCGTAAAAGCGTTTGTAATTCTAACAGAGCCATATTCCAAACACGACAAACAGAAATTAGGAGAAGAACTACAGAATCATGTAAAATCTGTCACTGCACCTTATAAATATCCTAGAAAGGTAAAACTCATATTATGTATGTACCTTTATTGAAAGATATCAAATAAGTTCTGCAGAAACACAGTATACTTTAGTGACTTCGAAAATTACTAAAAGACAATCAGGCAAACAAAGGTATGAACATACGAATTGAATAGTCTCTTACAAGAGTAAATCCAGACGCTTCGCCATGGAAAAGGTTGCCCGAGGCTCGTAAATCGATTAGAAAGAGACAAATCAAGGTAACAAACAAAAATCGAGGAAATCGCATGAACTTCTATAGGAGCGTGACCGAGTGCGTCGACAGGATATTCCCTGTTTTGCATGCATCTCCCGTCATGCGAATCACACTGCCAGAATGTCAAAATCGGGAATAGGACATAATCGTTGAAATTACAAATCAGTTAAGTCACTGTATGATCAACCATTACGAGATGTCGACCAAAATCTTGCGAGACAATGATTTCCGTCATTCTTCTTATAAATCATGTGTAAATCACATAAGCACACTTCATCAATAAATTATCAGTTTAGAATATCACATCATTTGTGATATCGTTTTGGAATATCATGTTAATTTAAATAACTAAACATGGTAAGCATATTGTAAGCTAGAGCTATACCATTAGTAAAGTACATGTACCATAACGATTGTATTGAAGACTCATCATCAACAGTACATCATTACTTAAACACTATTAATCATTATTAAAGTTCATTTGAATCCGATGACATTAAACAAAAAACCTATAATTACAACGTCATACAAGACACCTATAATTACAACATCATACAAGACACCTATAATTACAACGTCATACAAGACACCTATAATTACAACGTCATACAAGACACCTATAATTACAACGTCATACAAGACACCTATAATTACAACTTCATACAAGACACCTATAATTACAACGTCATGCAAGACACCTATAATTACAACTTCATACAAGACACCTATAATTACAACGTCATACAAGACACCTATAATTACAACGTCATACAAGACACCTATAATTACAACATCATACAAGACAATGGAATCAATTCCTTCAAACAAATAGTGTATTATATTTTTAACCGTATTTTTTTTCTAATAGAAAAATCGCGTGTAACTATGTATAAAGACATTGAGTGTTTGTGCAAAGAATAATTATAAAAAAAAAATTTTCGTTAATCAATTTATTTTGAAATTTCAACAATAAGCGTTTCTTTTGAAAATATTAACAGTTTTTAGACGGATGTTTGATATTTAGCAAACAAAATGCAAGACAATATTCTCTCGCTTTTCGGCTTGGTATTCTATATCACAATACTTTATCTTACATTTTTGTTTGTTTTGTATGTGATTTAATTAATTTTTTCGTTGTCTTTTATGTTACGACTCTACATCTTGTATTCATCTCAGTTACTCCCTTTTTTACCTGCTTTTTTGTGCATTAATGCACTTAAGGTAAATATCTTAGTAATGAAGTTGTTAACTTCTATGTCATTTGGTCTCTTAGTGGAGAGTGATCTCAGTGGCAATCATACCACATCGTCTTATTTTTATATTTACATTTAAAAAAATTATTAAACAAAAATTGTATTATAGATTGAGTTTGTGGATCAGTTGCCAAAGACAGTCAGTGGTAAAATAAGAAGAGTTGAACTGAGAAATAGAGAATGGGGGCGGCAAGAGATTGGAGAGTCAGAAAAAAAATAGAATATCATGTTTATTCGAAAGAATACCTTTTTATATGTATTACCCACATTCATCTGTACCATATCACAGAAAATATTAGAAAAATAATGTATTATTATGCAATATCAACATAGAATAATGCATAGATGTTCTGTGAGTTCTTGTTTTTATACGGATGGAAACCCAACTTTGTTCATATTCCACATGAATGTGTGTGAAAAGACATATATTAAATTTCCATAGCAAGAAGATTGATAAACAAAATCAGAAAGCATCATGCATTTTTATGATTACTATTTAACGAAATTTTTTTTTCTAAAAACAGTTATCTATTCCTTAGTTTTATTGAAAATTCCTTTTCTTTCTGTCATGTTATTCAAGTGAAATTTCGATATTGACTAATGTTGATGAGGATAGTTTCGGAACACCATTATCCTGAAAAAATAAATTGATACATAAAAAGGTTAACAGGAACCATCATATTACAAGTACTAAAAAAATGATCATTATATCAAAAGCATACACTGTAAACATGTATTTGCTAACGTAAAATAATATTCTAGTAGTACAAATATATATATATATATATATATATATCATTACAAAAATCGATTGACGAAGTTTTATGTTCGCTTTTCATTATGTAAATTATTACGATTAATACAGTTTTTCGAATAAACTTTCGTCAAAACTTGCGTATTGGTTTTATTATCAGCAATTGTAACATACAGTACTCTCTGTGTAAAATTTGTCATAATCAACTTCTCTGTAAAAACTTCTCTTTACTTATTCATATCAGTATCTATACGACAAAAAAGTACTAAATTAAATTTAAAATATAAACGCTAAAAATTAAAAAAAAATCAATATGCTTCAAAAATAAGTTTCTGTCAAGTTCCACTGATCACCGTATTTAAAAAAGTAAAATCACAAAAATACTGAACTCCGAGGAAAATTCAAATAGGAAAGTCCCTAATCAAATGGCAAAATCAAAAGCTCAAACACATCGAACGAATTGATTACAACTGTCATATTCCTGACTTGGTACAGGCATTTTCCTATGTAGAAAATGGTGGATTGAACCTGGTTAAATAGCTAGCTAAACCTCTCACTTGTATGACAGTCGCATCAAATTCCCTTATATTGACAACGATGCGGGAAACCATCGGGAGTTTATGATTGGTGTAAAATCTCTGCACGTTTCACACATGCATTGAGTGGTGAATATCCCTTCATTTTGTGTTTGAGGAAATTTCAATGACTGATGTCAATACGAAATGTATACTAACCGTTGCATTGACTTGATAATGATAAGTTGTATGACCATGCTGGAGTTTCTTCTTTAACGTTATATCTCCTGTGATTGGATCGATAACAAAAGCCTTGTATCTGCACGAGGGAGAAGGCACCTGGTAGGGCTGCAAAATATATTTTAAGTTTGAGCAGTACCTCGATACTTAACATATGGTTTTGTGAACATATGAATCGCATATGCATCTTTTTGCGAAATTCGCTCCTGTGTATCTTTGTAAAAAAAGATAGAACAGTAACGGTCATAGTAGCAAGCAACGGTACAAACTATTATACATTTATTCAATTACTTGTTAAGGGTGTCTTCCAATCATTAAAGACGTAAGAGTTTTTTAAAAAAAATGTTTAAAGTTAAAATGAAATTCAAAAGAGTGATGAAGCACGGTTCTTATGTTTTTAAAAATTACTCACCAATCAATATTTTAAGGTCATTTATGTTTCAACATATCCCAAGTGTATTTCCAAACAAAAATTCGGTAATGCAGTGTTTCATTACGAGAATGACATTACGAAGATGATACATTTGTAAATGGATTTCTGAGTCGGTCTTTCAACTATCAACAAGTTTATATAAAAAACATACGCTCATCGAGTAGTTTATTGCTGCATTTGGTCCATCGTCCGCATCCATTGCTGTTACATGTAAAATTTTGGACCCAACTGCCAATCCCTACAAAAGCCAAATAAATCGAAATGTTAATAAACTTTATACTAAATACTAACCGACGCATTTCTTGAGTAAGTTTTCTTTACTAAGTAAAACCAAAAATATGTTAGCTTACGCAAAGTCGTTTAACCATTTGCTCGAACGATTAAAATAAGAAACAATTGCTTCATAGTTTGAGATATCAAATATATACTACTTTGAGGTGTGGTTTAAATACTCGTACATGCATTTGTATTTAATAAATGAGATATGGGGCCGAGAAGCGACCTTAAGAAAACAAACCAAAACGATTTCGGCTATATCAAAGACTAAGCAGGTAATATTTGTAGCACTATGACGTATTCACTGTGTCATATTTATATTCGTCCTGAATATTCATGAAACATTTAAAGCAGACGTTAGGCAAACAACAGTCAATCAACCAATCATATTTACATATTTATATCCCTATGGGTTTCGTGTGATCGTGTTGGAAATGTTTATCGATTGCTGAAGTTGTGATACGGTTGAAATCTTTTTGGCGCTATATTTTTGCATTTTAAACCATTTTTGCGAGTTCATTATACAAAATACAAATAGAATTGTACGAAATATACTATCGTCTACTCACATATCCAACAACAGAACGATAATGGCCGTGCACAAAAAAGGGGGCGTTGTTATTGACATCATCAATATGTAGTGGCAAAGTCAATAAAGTCTGAAATAGTGAAATATTATTAACCGACTACTGTTACTAAGAAACCAAGCAGGATCTCAAGGCTTCATTTTAACTTTGGTGGATAGTTGTCTCATTGGTCATCATCACACATCTCCTTATTTTAATAAGAATTATCAATACGATTTTAGCAAATGATACTTAATTTCATATTCTAGTCAACAAAAGAAACGATACAAGGCAATGCATTTTCCATATATAATAAAATTCGATACATTGTACCCAGGTAAATAATTGCTCAATTGGTCTAATATTTACAGAGTGTTATGTTCTTATCAAAACCATTGATTTAAGGCAAATACGCGAATTTTTGTTATTTTAAAAATCGTATTTTCACCCAAAATTCAAAAATCGATATTAGAACTTAGAACTTTAAACTTTAACATTGTCTGCTTAAAATTTTGAATGCCTTTGCAGATATTTGAATACCTAATTCTCATTTTCGAAATTAAGTGCCGACTTTTGTCATCATTTCCCGCAAAATAAATTTGACCCCTGTGTTCAATAACACGGTATTTTCTCACTTTCCAAGTTGATCAGATTCTTTTAATCATATCCATTTTCTCTTCAAATGAAAGTTTGTCATTGGATAATTTAACAGTTTTTCCTATTTATTATATTTTATGATAAATTGG